AAAAATAATGATTTACGGCTCATAATAATAATTGGTTAGTAAAGGTTTTTACACATCAACAAAATAATAAATTAAACACTTCAAAAATAGTGAAAAATTCGATCTAATTACCCCAATGAACAGTTCTGTAGCAATTTTATACCATCCGATCATACACATTTATGCACACTTTTGTGGTTTAAATTATTATGAAAATAGTGCCCATAAAAGTAGGGTGATGGGACATAAAACCATCTAGATTCATTTGTCTAATACGACTTTATAAGAAGCCATTATTTTATTATTGCACGTCATGATGTAATTTTTCCATAATCTTTTTGGGCCAATTTTTGTTTGACATGATGCATAACCAACACCATTTGCTATTTGATTTTTTTCAAATGTTATTGGTAAAGTTACTAAAGGTACCAATCAATAATTTCACATGAAAATAAAGAATGATTTTCTTTCTTTATTAAAATTTAATAATCAGATATATATTGTAGGTGTGTGTGGATGTATGTGCACATTAAATTATGAATAAAACCTGACATTTTAAGCAACATATGCTCTGAATCATGTTGCATTTAATTTATCTTTTGAAAATTGTACTGTCCGCTTACATTAACGTTAAATCATGTCTTTTTTATAAAGTAGAAATGGAAAAAGTTAATGAAAAGGACTTTTTGTAATTTGTTAGTAGTCATTTTTTGATGGAATGATTAATTTTTACTTATTTGATCAATATATTTATGAGCAATTTAAGTAGTTAAGCTGCCCTTCTTTCATGCTGCCCGTTTCTGTCTTTCACTTATTTTTATTTTTATCTTTTAGGTTATTTCATTTTTTTATTTACTATATTTAAACTAATAGTTCTTATTGTTTTTATTTTTATCTTTTATGTTATTTCAATTTTTTATTTACTATATTTAAACTGATAGAATTGAATAATGTTAAGAGCAGACGAGTTGAATCAAATCGATTATTGACCTCATCGAGCTAGCTATGCTCAAAAATTTTAAATGCTTATTGAGCTCGACAATTTAACGTTCGGATATAGATATTCATAATCGGTTGAATTTCATCAGCTCGAATTTTATTTGAATTCGATTTTGAGTTTCTAACAAAAAAAATATTCAAGCAAGAATTTATCTTGAGCTCGAATTTTATTTGAATTCGGTTTGAGTTTCGAACAAAAAAAAATATATTCAAACAAGAAATTATTTTGAATTTGACTCGAACTCGGTCTAGGAGTATTTAAGTAAATTAAATCTACACTCGAGCATTCCATCAAACTATCAAACTTATAACATATAGACTTGAGTTTGACTCATGCTCGCTCAAACTCGAATTTGAGTCAAGGTTTGACTCTTTACAATGCCAAATTCACTCCTCTGGCAAAAGTAAGTAAAAAAGAAATAAAAATCATAGAAATTAAAGTAGTTGAAGAGTGAGAAGAGACCACAAAATAAAAGATTATTTCTGGCAACTAATTTTTCAAAATTTTAATCATCATATATTAATTATATATGGTTTTATTCAACGACACGATTTAAGAACACACGATTAGTAGCGTGCCTTTGCCCAACTTTTTATTAATGCGCCAAATACATCGCTTTTGTGAAGATTAACTTTTGTGTAACATCCTAAAATTTTGATTGTTCAATAAAAATATATATTATTCATTTATTTAAATTTCTCTCTTTTATTTCTCTATTTAATTTTCACAATATAAAGGGATCCGGTTTGGTCAAGCCAGTTTGACTCGAGTATTATGTATATTTATACTTTAAATTTTAATAATAAAAGTATAAAACCAAGCATATATATACTTACGTAGTAACAAGATGCGATTTTATTAAAAACTTTAAGTATAAAAGTTCACATGTATATGATTTTTTATATATATTTTATGAGATAAAAATAGTGAATATATATAATTTAATTTCTTTTTAATTTTAATTATTGAATTCAATAATGACCAGACCTACATCTCATTATTCTAGGGTTTAATTTTCCAGTACAACCACCTGGTATTTAAATTCTGCAATTTCTTTTTTTCTTTTTTTACTTGAATTATTTTCCATACACTGTGTGTGTTCCTCTCACACTTACCATATCCCATAGTTCAGTACCAATAGCTTTACTCCACCTGCAACTTTCCACTAACCAAATTCAATCTTTTGTACCTTTCTTCTCTAATCAAACTCAAAAAAAAAAAAAGGAATAAAATATTCATTCAACGCTTAAAAATTTACTTACTCTGAATACCTAAGTAATAATTAATAAACTTTCATCAGTTGGTAGATTTACCATACTCTTTTTGACCGTTACATCATTCAATATGTGCATTGTGTAGGGTCAAATCTTTTCTTCCAATCTAATGGTAAAAAAAACCCTGTAAGCGTGTGTAGAGTCAAAAATTACCATAACAGTGAAAAAGAACAAAATAAAATACAAAACAGTCTCAAAATAATATAAAAATGAAAAATAAAATCAGGGCACCGAGTTAAAACTCCTGGTTCAGAAACTAGGGTTTAAGGAAAATTTAACCTACCAAAATTAAATCAAACACATAACAGTACAAATAAACCCTAATTTCTCTCAGTTGGTACTCTTTCTCTCTCTCACACGCATACACACACACACACCCAGAAAGCAAATTTTTTTCAGAGCAAATGGAAAGCAGCTTCACAGTGTTGTAGAGAATAGAAAAAATATTCATTTACAGAAAAAAGATTTGTGGGTTTTGCTTAGATACATACCACAAATGGAGATTCAGGGTCTTTTTTTTTTTTTAATTTTTAATTTATTTGTAT